GCTGCCTGAGGGCTCTGGGCAGGGGTCCCTGGACAGGCCACATGTCTGCGAAGGGGGGGCCCCTGTGGCACGTGCTCATGGGCCAGTGTGCATGCACTGCGCCCGAGACTTCCAAAGCTGTCCCCTCCCTGTCCCTTGGGAGCGCCGGCTTCTCCCTCTTGCAGACCTGCTGTGCCCAGACCTGCCATACAGCACTGGGACTGCACCCCATTGGGGTCCCGTGTGCCCCCCGAGTGCCTTCCACCTCGGCCAGGCACCACATCCCCAGCTCCAGTGCATGAGCCCCAGGGACCCGGCAGTTACCCACAAAATTTAGCAAGAAACTAAGCAGCTATTCTTCAATGACTGACTAACAAAACATCCTTGTGCTTGTATCGGTCTGCATGTGAGCAAAATAGAAGAAATTGCAGAAGTAGCCATAAGAGGCAGCATGTTTTAAATTTTGTAGAATTGTTGACAGCGTTTCTTGTCAAGTCGCATCAGCAGCTGGGGAAATGTGTAATTCCTGCCGAAGCAGTTGAGGTCTTTGTCTCTGTGGAGGTCTAACTAGGCAAGGGAGAAGAGGTGCTAGAAAGGGGTAAAGAACTTAAGGCCAAGGAGACATAAAATAAATTAGAAGTATACTAGTAGGGCACCCTTTGTGGAATGGATTTTTACCCAGGTTTCATGTTACTAATTTCTGGTAACAGGCATCAAGTTCAACCTAGACTATTAATGACAGTGAAATGAATTCTCCTGTGCTCTCTCAAATGATGACTTAATTTTTTCATGCTTTACAGCACAGGTGCAACAGATTTATCCTGTTATTTTTAATCAGTTTGGAAAATAAACATAACACTTCCCACATGTAATTTTAAATTAGCAATATCCCCTTTTGATACAAGGGATGTGCTATCTGTCTGGATAACATTTAACTGTATAAATGGTAGTAATCAGTTTTCTTTACATTAAACTAAAACATTCAGATGCTCCTTGGAGATGTACATGTATGCTAGCAGCTACTTAGTGGAGAGTGGTGAGAATTGAAAAAAACATTTGAGGGAAAATAGCTTTAGCCTTAGAAAACTGGCAGTATGGATGTATAAAATTAATCCCTCTGTTCTGTGAATGGTTTCATCCAGAATAACCATCCCAACAATTAAATTACTTTTAAGAAGGCGTAAGTTCTAAGTTGTGCTAATAACAAAGTATGACTTTTGGAGACCAGAAGAAATGTCGTATGAAAAATACAGCATTCTGGTCTTCCAAAACAGTCAGGTTTATTCTTTTCATTTGCCTATTCTAGTCAGAGGAAAAATACTATAAGAGTGTCATTGCAAATGGCAGATTTTTAAGGAATCAAAAACCTTCTCAAATCATATCTGAGGGAAGTGCCTATGCCATGTGTCCTGCAGTCGTCTTCCTCTGGACAGTTCCAGAGTACCTGAAATGGAAGCATTTCCTGAATGTTTTTTTTCAGTTTTTAAAAATTTAATTACGAGTTCAACAGTGCTGTGACATAAGGCACTGAAAGTAGTTGCTCACTTGGAAGTACCCTCCTAGCCTGTAGAGCAAACCATTCCTCCTCAGGAGAATTCACTGCATGTTTGCTGAGTTTTGTATCAGAGGATTATCACTGAATTTGCAGTTTTTTTCAAATGTACATTAACTGGATTTTACAGGTAGAAATGGTGATTTTTGGGGACTACTTTCTTCCCCTAAGCCAAAGGAATTGCCACGGAACCTGGTAGTTCAGCTCCAGCCTTTGCCATTTGAAACTACTCTCACTATGTTGTGCCTGTCAGGTGTTCCCCAAGTTAGGTGTCACAATCAATAACAGGAGAAGAAAAATCTCTATCGTGGAGGCATGAAATTGAGGCTTCAAACGGGTGACTAATAGCAGTCAGTGTAAGAACTGCAGCACAAACAGGGAATACTCAAGCAGATGCAAGACTAATGCACATCAGTATTGCTTACCTGTAGAAGTGGGATACTCATACCTGTGCTCTCCTGCAGCCTGCTTGCTTAAAATGCCTTAAGGAGCCTTGAACTGTATATCTAGAAAAGGAGTTGTCTCATACCTATTATGATTTTGGAGGTCTGACTTTGTTTTTGTAGGACTGAAATCTAATGATATTTTCTTTTTTCTTTTCAATTTTAGAATACAGCTAATGCAGTATGTAATTTATGGCATTGCATCATTTTTCTTCTTGTATGGAATAATCCTTTTGGCAGAAGGTTTTTATACAACAAGTGCTGTGAAGGAGCTGCATGGAGAGTTCAAAACAACAGCTTGTGGTCGCTGCATCAGTGGAATGGTGAGTAGCAATAGAAACTGGAACAATTGTCTTCGCTTGCTAAAACCTGTTGGGCTTGGTTTGACTCCTGTGTTTTTGAACCACAGTATATTGCTGCGTTCTTTGTTTAACTCCTTGTGGGTGGTCAGAGTCAATCCCTGTGGCTGGTCCTTCTTTGAACTTCGAGGATGCTTTGTCAAATGCAAATTCTGCAGATGGACTGTTGGGGTGCTACCGTGGCCTCCCCTGTCATAAAGTTAATCCTACTGGTCTAAACTAAGTTGATAGAGACTGTAATTTTAAAATGCTCAATGCGAAACAAAATTAAATATGTGCTTTTAGACGTGGAGTACACTAGTGATGCTTAAAGGCAGACTGTAGTTTGCAGAGCTATTTAAATAACAAACTAATGCCTCTTCCTTCCATAGTCAATTCTGCTTGAGGATGTCTGGATCCTTCAGACAAATAGTAATGAATGAAGCTTTGGAACATCTTTGCACTTGAATCAAGTATTCCTCTCTTGCTTTTACAGATACAATAATGAGTCTTCTTCACAGAGCTGAAACACTTAAAGCCATAAGTTACAAGCCATCGTCCCTTCAGTATACTTCTGTATTAGAACAACATTTTAAACAAAGCTTAACTAAAAATAAAACTTCAGATTCTCACCCACGTTGGCCCCTAGGGCGCACTCTGCAAGAACAGAAACATAACTATGTTTCTGAGACAGAATTTCAAAGCCATTTCTGAAAATCTGAATTCAAAGCTCATAGTTACAGAGGAAGCTAAGCAGTATGACAGATCGCCCACGGGAAAGTGTGGGTGAAAAGAGAAGAGGCTTTTGATGTGATTGTTGCATTTTAATATACAAACTATATCCTGTACTTAAAAAATATGTACTTTCAGATGGTTAAATATAAAGGAGATGCGTGTTTATTTTCAAGAGGGTTAACAGTTTTCCACTGTGCTGCTGGATACTTAGTGAATTTTTCAAGACCTAATAAAAATAAGACATCCTGTCATTTTCCAGTTAAGCAGTTATTTGCTCACTCTTTTCTAGCCAGTATGATCTCCACCAAGGGACAAAATTAGATCTATAGCAGTGTTTCCCAAAGATCCAAAATACACTAGAGACATACACATATATGCATCTCAGTAGTGCACACAATTGCTTGTGCAGTTGAGTAGTTGCAGGCACATGATTGTCAGCTGCTTATACAAATACCAGTGTGACACATGACAGAAAAACATGTTTTCATGTTTGCCTATATTTGTCCACACAATGAAGGAGAGAGTTTAGCAGTGGAGTAATGGCTTGGAGCTCTGGTAAGACACATCAGTGGTTAGGGGTGACAGTCATGGCGTAAAAATGTCTGTATGCCACTGGGTCATGGTAGAGCTGCTTGAAACATCTGGGTTAGAACAAGGTTTACAAGGAGATAAAATATCTTGAGAGAATAGTGGCTGCAGCTGGGTACAGACAACAAGCTTTTGGACATAGTGATTTTTTTTGTTGTTGTTGGTTTTGGGTTTTTTTGGCCTCTTTGATCAAGAGCTCCTTTACTTCTTCTGCTACATGACCAAGTGAGGCCCTGAAAAGCAGACCCTTCCATCCATCGTGCATAAGGTTATTACAGAAGACAGACTGCCAGCTTGCCTAAATTATTTGTGTTGTCTGTGGTAATGCCGAATAGACATTTCCTATAGTTATCACATTAAATGTGAGAGTGACTGTGTTTTTTCCTGGCTAATTTAGGAGTTAAAGGCTTTGTGTACATTGTCTCATGCACACTTCCACATATGTATGGAAACCCACATTTTGTGTATAGTGAGTGTATCTATAGAAAACCTTTAAAGTGGTCCACTTGGTCTTTACCAAAATCCAAAGAGAGAATTCTCAATTCTTGCATAAAACATTCAGGTGTGGTGTATGGAACTACTACAAAATAGGGTATTTCAGTTCTGTTGTGTATAAAATTAAAGGCTAGCTGGGTTTTTAAGGGCCTTGGTTTTGCAAGCACCTACACCTCCCCATGCACACTGCCTTTGTTGAGTGTAAAACTGAACCAATTGCTCAACGTTTGTGGCGTTGTTCTGCGCATCTTGACAAAAAACCTGTGAGGATGCAAAATGGCACCACTGCAGCATTAGTTCAGTCTGTCAATTCTGGATCAGGCTGAGACAACCTACCCCCTCAGAGCCTTTCCCATCCTTACTGTTCTTCTCTGGCACACAACACAAGTTTCAAATCAGTGGTTTACTTGAAGTAAAGCCTTTCCAGTCCACCTGCAGTTAAATAAAAGGGCACACACAAGATATGACAGCATTCCCCTGCTTCCCAAGTATGATCCAAATCCCAGTCTCATCAGGAGAAGGGAGCTAGAAACTGATGCCAGAGCTACTGTTTCACTTTAAAACTTAGAAGAAGAAGGAAAAGGGAAGAGGTCCAGTGGGAGGGGGAAGCTGGAGATTCCCAAAGCAATGAGTGCCATACCTTATAATCTTACCAAAGAAAATGCGCATAATAATTTTTTCTTTTTTAAAGAAGAGCAAACCCAAACCAGCAAATTTCAATGGAAAATCCATGATTCCCTAAGGTGAAGTAACTAATTTTCTTCTTGGCAACGTGTGTTAGATCAGTTAAATCTTTCTGGTCTGCAGTAAGAGTCGCGGTCTGTTCAAAAATAGGTATTCTCAAATGTTACATTCACAATTGATTTCAATAAATCAGGGAGCACAAGAGAGCTCTGTGAACAAACACTGATTCGCTGTATTGTTTTGATTTGCAAGTTCATTAGAAATGCTAGTATGTTACAGTTAATTAAAAAACTCCTTAAATTGATTTTTGTTGGAAGTTATTGGTTTTAGCCTACAACCAGCATCCCTGCTTAGCTGAGATTCTTGAGAAATTAATGGACTGCTCTTCCAGGAGGGTGAGCTGTTTACTCAAGCAGGCTAATGAAAAAGGAAATGTCTGAATTACTTTCTCAGTAGCATTTAAACTACCAAAACATTTGTAAGCAATGAGAATACCGATTTTATTTGTGCTTGGAAATCAAATGGTTTATTACTTGATTTCTGAAATTATGCTTAACAATTATTTTGAAGCATTTTTAAGGAAAATTCAAGAATTCTTTTCAAAGAACAAACGTGAAGTGCTTGTGTTTTCTCTGCCCAGTTTGTTTTCCTCACCTATGTGCTTGGAGTGGCCTGGCTCGGGGTCTTCGGCTTCTCTGCTGTGCCTGTCTTTATGTTCTATAACATATGGTCAACTTGCGAAGTCATCAAATCTCTTCAGACAAACGTGACAGTTCCAGGGGACCAGATCTGCGTGGATATCAGGCAATACGGTACTCATTTTAATCCTGATTAAATGCTTTTATCCTTTCTCCTTGGTCTGTCTTCAGTAGTTTTGTCTCAGTCTTATCAAACGAACCAAATGCAAAAGCATCTTGTATCTCAGAATGTGCTATTACTTTTCTAATTAATTCAGATTGCACTGATCTCTTAACAGATGCAATCAATTTAACTGAACTGGGAAGTCATTTATCTAAAATGATTTTGTAGCGGTTCCCAGTACTATAATATTAGGTGTAAAAATAGATCAGCCTCAAAATAAACTGCTTAGAAACAGCGCTGAGAAATAGATAACTAGATTCTGATTTTTGAACCCCCATATGCATATATTCTTTCCTTTCAAAAAGCTGTTTTTATGTTTAAATACGAAATTAACACCTGAACTTTGCTCTCACAATTACTTTCAGTTAGAAGACCAAAAAACCTGCAATCAGGAGTCTGCCTTATCTATTCATTAATTAATACTGCTTTCTGAGCACACACAGAAATCCAAGGGGGGTGCAGGTGGCAGAGGAGTGAGACAATAGCTTAAAATAGGGTCAGGCTTTTCAAATAGTTCATTTCTCAAGGTGAGTTTTTCTTGAATTTAATCTTTTGAGTTTCCCTTGTGCAGAAGAGCTTTTGTCAGCATTACTTTTGGCTTCACTTTAGCTAGCATTTTCTAGGTGTTTCTTTCTTTGGACTGAGTCATTCAGAGCTGAGAAAACAGATTCAGAGTTGAAAAATTAAGAAAGCTTGGTGTTGCTTTCCTGTCTGGGTTGTAAGTCCAGTAGGAGAAGATAAGATTTACTAATTTTAAAAGCAAGAAGTTCCAAATCAGTTAAATGTTTGCATCCTATTTTAGCAACTGTCAGCAAGAGGCTGGGAAGATGTTTTCTTCAGCAGCAAAGCCTAGGAGTGCAGGGGGAAGATGTGTTCCTCCACTTTTCTGCTTCTCCTGGTTGTTTTGCAGCTGTACAAGCACCCTATATGGCTGGGCTGTTCCTCTGGTCAGTAAAATCATTTTGGGTTTCAATGAGTGACAGGAGAGAGCAGCTCAACAGGTGACTTGTGTCACTGAACTTTCCTCACATTTTTGGGTGGAAGTGGTAGCTAAAAGGCTTCAAGGGTCATGGCAGTTGCAGGGAAGAAGCTGGCTTTCAAGTAAATCCTGTAAAAGTTTTGAAAGCCCTTCCATCCTGAGATAGTTTCAGTGACCTGCCCCTTACAAGAGTTGCTAATTCCAACCAGCTGAGTTTGAAATGCAAGTTGTATGGAGGAGACAAACTTTTTTCCCCCTGTTTTAAATGGCTTTTTGCCAATGGCTCTACATCTGTTAAGGGCCTGAAAGTTTAGGTTTTTTAAAACCTTCTAGATCCTATTGACTTGTCAGATTTTCAGTCGTGTAAGAAAAGTAATTGGGAGTACATTGCAGACTGAGTTTTCTTGTAGTGGTGTTCACATAACGCTTTTTTACTTACTGAAACTAAACCAGGAGAAAATCCTTCTGTAATTCTTCCCTCTAGCTCCATATTAATGCTCTTCTACAGTAGTTACTTGTTCAAATAGAACTTAATCTAGCAAGTGCCATCCTGAAAGGTGCCAAGTACCTCTGAGATGCAGATTATCCCTTTCAGTGGGGGAGTAGGCAGTATGTGGCTGGACCTGAAGTGCAAAAACCCAACCAACCATTTGTCTGCCATATGGGAAAACCACATCTGAGAACATGTCTTGGCAGCAGTCCTCTGTACAGGGAGAAAGCACAACTTGAGTGAGTCGGTTTAATTCCTCCTGCCAACTCAAAGCTGTGCTGGTCAACGGGCGGATGCCCAGAATGGGAACACAACTGGCAAGTGGGTGGAAAAGATGAGAGAGGAACAGAAAATGTGTGCTGATTGCTAAAATGAGTGGTTTCTTTTGCTGTGGTATTTCAGGTATTATCCCTTGGAATGCTGTACCTGGCAAAGCCTGTGGCCCGATTTTAGAGAATATCTGCAACACGAATGAGGTACAGAAACAACCTGGGTGCAGCTTTTGCCTCCAGGTCACTTGAGCACAGTGTAATGAATAACTTGATGAAAGTTTTTGGGGAAAACTAATACTAATAGTAGAAAGAGACTGATTTAAATGGAACACTGAAATTACTCTGTGTTAGGTCATACAGAAAATGAAAATTATTTCAGAATATTTCTATTTTCTAAAGCTTTGAGTACCTTCCTACAATGACAGTTTTACTATCCTTATTCTCTAAAACAGTTGAAATGCATTTTATGCTATCCTCAATCACTTCAATGTTTTTTCTCTAGTTCTACATGTCTTACCACCTGTTCATTGTGGCTTGTGCTGGAGCTGGTGCCACTGTCATAGCACTGGTGGGTAGTACTTTTTGTTGTTTTATTGTGTAATGTGTTCCTTTCAGGCTTAAGATGCTTTAAGTTTAAATTTTGTGTATCTTAAAATAGAGATACTAGACATTAAAGAAGGCAAGCTGTAATCACCATTATTTGCTGCTATGGTTTAGTCATTACAGGTCAGGTCCTCAACTTTTCCTTCAAGAAGTCATCTTAACCCACCTGTTCCATCCTTAGAGTAAAATTCTTTGCACGTCTTTTGAAAATCCTGCTTCTGCTCACGGTTTTTACATCTGCTATTTCTTTTCATTTCTGTAGTTTATTTGATCAGTCACTTGTAACCTCGTCATTTTTTTTGTCTGGAGCCAGACAGTTTGACTAGTCCAGCTCTGCAATGCCAATTACAGGTAGCAGTTGGAAAAAGGGACGTTAACAACATGATTTGCTTCATATGTCTAACGCCTTCCTCTTGCTGCCATCTTGTAACCTCGTGTCAGCCAAACCCAGGTGTAACAGTCACTATTTTTCGTGAAATAGCCTTAGGCCTGTATGTAGGTTATCATCTCCGGATAAATGGCAAGTTATTTATCTTGCATCTTCACCCTGGAAGAATAACGTCTGTTGTGAAAGTATCGACAGTTGCCTGTGTGGGCTTGAGCCGTCACCTTGTTGTATCTTACTCTCCTGTATTTTGTTCTCTTCCACCAGCTGATCTACATGATGGCTACCACATATAACTATGCTGTTTTGAAGTTTAAGAGTCGGGAAGATTGCTGCACTAAATTCTAAATTGTATAAGCCCAGTAAAGAGCTGCATTGTGTAGCCTGAAATACCACTGACACCCTAGGCTAAAAGTCTAGCTTTCTGAGTTTTGTTACAGTAATTGTAAATAGCTTCAGTAAGCATCATTTAGCTTGTCAGATTAATAAAATGACTTCTTGTATATGAACTGTGATGTGGATGAGATCTGGCTATTTTTTCATGTCGAGAGGATTCAGTTACTGTAGGGGTGTTTATAAAACATCCTTCTCGAAAATGGGATGTTTCCATTTCAGGTCTCCACCTTTCTAACAGTCATCTCTCAAACAAATACTGGAATAGTTCAGGGTCAGAATTATTAATTAATTCCTCATTCTGAGCACCAAATACAACCCCCCGAGCATACAAAACATATACCATACAAAAGGAAAAGAATAGTAAAGTAGTGCCAGTCTCTTTTGGCAGTAATCAGAAGCCCAGGTACTATGAATTTAGTTGGCTTGTATTTACAGTGCACGGCTGATAAAGTTGATTATTTTCTTTTACTTAATTTTTAACTAATTGCCAAATCACGCTCTCTCTGGCAGGAAATATATCCTTGTGTTAGCTCTGCGTAAAACAATCAGTCTTTTTTTCGGACCCTGAACTAGTAAGAAACAGCGTATAAATAGCTTCGGCTCTTGTATGGCTTGCACTTTAGTAACTGATTTCTCAGTAGCCAGATCTCAAAACTGTAAGTATGACTGCACGGGAAGCAAAACCATGCATAGGTCATAGAGACCTTTTTACACTGTTGGGATTAGAAAAAAAAAAGAAGTGAATCATTGTTTTCAGATGTAGATTTTTTGCATGAAGTAGGGAAGAGATGAATGCACAAACTAGAAAAACTCCACACAATAATAATAATAATTATAAAAAGAACCAGTTGCTATATATGATACAAAACTCTTTACCTGAGGTTGGACAATGGAAGGTTAAAATGTAGTTACAAAAATATACAATTAAGACTTCTTAACCCAGAGATTGCATGCTTTTGCTTAGTTTTGGACTCATGTTTTGTTGTTTAATTTTTCAGTATGTTAATGTAGCCTTGTTCACATAAATAAAACTGTTTACAGTTTCAGGTTTTTCCAGGGGGAGGGTAGAATTCTCATCTGCTTGTTGTGGGAAAAGAATTACCAGGATCTGGGCTTGGATGTGCATAAACACCACAACCTTAGAAACCAGTTCTTCTGAGCACCTCGTAGTTTAGAGATTACATATATTGCCACGTACCAAACTATTTTCCCGCTTCCCCCCATTCCGTACAACTTTGTAGCTCATTTTATTACTGTTATACTAACTTTCTCTAAATTGTGAATAACCAGCTTAAGTATTAGCATGCCAAATTCTAGAGATCTTTGAAAATAGCCTCTGTGCTTGTTTTAATAACAGAATGCTTATTAACGTAGAATAACTTTTTTTTGGTCGTTATTTTAAAAAAAGCGTCTATTAATCTAACTAGCAGCTTGCTTTGCCTCTTGACATGCTCACTAGCCATCATGCTCACCCTTCTCTTCCAGATCCACTTCCTCATGATACTGTCTTCTAACTGGGCCTACTTAAAGGATGCAAGCAAAATGCAGGCCTACCAAGATATCAAAGCAAAAGAAGAGCAGGAGCTTCAGGATATCCAGTCTCGGTCAAAAGAGCAACTCAATTCTTACACATAAATGTCTGCCACAGTAATTCAGCAGAAGAATTCTGTAGCTCTGACAAATCAACAAATAGCTGCTCTGCAGTACAGATGTGTGTCTACCAAACAAAATTAGAGGGAAGTGCAAAAGCTTCACATTCCAGCTCCTGGTACACATTCGTAGGGAAATCTTCCCATGGGTAATCTTCCATCCTTTCATACAGAGAATGGAGGTTTTATTCCAGGCATTTTAAAAGGCAACACTTCACAATAAATGACCAAATTATTATTCTTTGAGACTTTTCTTATTTAGTATTTGTTCTACAGCATGACGTCCTGCACAAAACCGTGGCAGGTGCTCCAAACCAGCAGGCAGTAGATTTCTGTACAGACCGTAGGTAAAGGCACGTGTGCAGTGTGTGTGATTTAGTATCTCAGTTTAGATACCAAATGAAACTGTGGCCAGATAAGAGTTCTGACAGCCCGTGCTTACGTGACAGCACAGTTGCAGCAGTTCCTAAGTTGCAACAGGGCCAGGCCGTAGGAACAGCACGCTACTTTTGTGCCACACTTTTTTATAATGAAGCAGTCATGCTCCTGTGCTTACGTGAGTGTTGAGCAGATGTCCCAAGTTTTAATCTTTTTACTAACTAACTATTTAATGGAATGTAGATCCCTGGATCTGGATAATGATCCCCTTCTTTGAAAATAAATGTCAGCTTTGCCTTAATATTTATTTTCTATAAATGTCTTAGCATTTATATAGTGGCAGGAGACCATTATCCTACATTTTAAGTAAGTGAAAAGTGTTACCTTATTAAAATGACACTGATCTGACTATTCCAAATGAGCAGATGAGGAAGTTTGCAGAGTTTTACACAACCAATAAAAATTACAGCCATAAAACAGAATACAGGATGTCCACCTTTCTCTATCTTGGTGCTTAGCAAATTTATAGTCAGTGCTTATGTGTTTTCCTTTTTACAAATTAATTAGCACATTAAGAAAACGTGGTGTTCAGAAAAAAAAAAACCAAACAAACTGGTGCCATTTAAAAGTCATTTCCCATAGAAGTCTGCCTTCTAATTAATGTTTTTTTTCAGATGCATTCAGTGATATCTTGAGTATTAGTGATGGTATATTTGGTGTTTATTCTATATGATATATATATATATAAATGTTGGGGGGGGAAAAAGTAAAATACATCAGTCATTTTGAAAAAATTAAATATTTGAGTCATACCCATGTTAAGCTGACGTGTGGTTTGATAGTTTTGACTGTTTGCTGAATATAAATCAAAGGAAGCACAAATTTCTTCAAGTCAGTATTAAGAGAAGAGGCATTTTGGGGGGTATTAACTTCAAATATAATTTTGTTTTTGTTAATATTGAAGTCTAATTTGACAGTTTCAAGAAAGGGGCAAAGTTGATTGATGTAGAGCAAGTATGACAAAATAGCCTAGTGTATGTTCTTACCTGTTGCATGAAGGAGACATTTCTACAGCAATGCAGGTGATGTTCTAGCCCAGTGTTTGCATAAGGGTAATAATGGAGGCAGTGTCTTAAAGCCTAATTCTTTTCTAATTCAGTGTAGCTATTACTGGGAGTTTTTGAAGTTTTGTTTAAGTAGTCTAATATTTTTATGTAAAGAGCATTAAATTTTGCTATGTATAAATTTTTGTAACCTAACAGTGAATATTTTCTATCAGTGCCAAGGGCTTCCTGTAGTTACATCCAAGTGTTAAAATAAATATTTGTAGATAATAGACAACACTTGTGTACGCTTATTTGAAAACAGACCTACAGCTGCTCCTGACTAGTGCATCTCTAGGCTTTATCTCTATCTGAATTTAAACACGTTTTGTTCAGTAGTATCTATCCCTTTGCTCCAGTACAGGGAGGGAAAGGGTGCCCTGTAGGTGTACGCTTCAGCATGGTAAGTCAGCGAGTTTTTCTAGCATGAAGTAGTGGTCGTTGTTCCAGGCCAGCATAATGCAACAAGCACTATCCATCCCATTCCTGACATCAAACAGGAGTCACTCAGAAATTTTGTCAATGCCAGCATTGCTGCAACACCAAATTAAGCAGCATGTAAAGTTAGACTAGCTACCAAATCACTCTCTATCTTAATGTCTAAAAACAAAGTTTTTTTCTGTCACATTTTTGGTACATCATGTTTCAACATCCAGAGAATTCAAGACAGAGCTTTGGTTTTTGCCCTTAAATTCTGTCAAACTTGGCTTTGTGGTCTTGTAGTTAGGTCAAGATGAGCAGCCTCAAATGCAGTGCAAGTTGTAATATATGCTGCCACCCAAAATTACTTCATTGATTAAAAAATACTGTATTTTATACTGTAAATAAAGTTTAATGATCTTGCGTATAATCTACCTACAAAATACAAAGCTTAAATAAAGATGAGTTAAGTAGCACTTTTATTTGAATCTCTCCGTTCTGGGCTGGTTAATACCAACAAGGTGATACATGAGATAAGGCTGCTTTTAAAAAGTGTTTGCTTCCCCTGCCGTGGCAGTAAAGGGGCATGTTAGCTTGTGTCTGTCACACTCTGCTCTCTGAAGCTGCGCAAGCCACAGGTCTCCACTTCACACCTTTGAAAGCATGATGATGATTGAATTTTTTGTTACCTGTACACTGTTGCTTTGACCTACAGTTTGTAACATGTGGAGGGGGTTGGCGGGTACACCCTGTGAAAAGCTGTCAAAGCTTACAGACATACAGCACCAAACCCAATCTACCTGGACATCCCCATTTATTTCTTTACCCCGCTTTTCCTTTCTCTCAGCCCACTCAAGGGCCTCCTTCTGCATTAGTAACACCTCAGGACTCACTAGTTGATGTTACGAGACAGCTCAAAATCAGCTTCATTAATTTATAATTATAGAGCCTGCAATCTTGGTAGCTAACCTTTATTACAACAGGCACAAAGATGCTTTAAAAATATTTTTATTCTAATAAAAAAAAAATCCGTAGGTATTGTTCACCAGAAGCTTTCATCCTCATCTCCATGAGAAATGTCTGCAGCGCTGTATTAAGGATAGATGGGAAGGAAAGAAAGTAGTATGAGAGTCTAAAACAATTTCTTATCTTAAATCATAACTATTTGTATATAAATAATTGTTTGAAAAAGAAAGTTAAGAGACTGTCCATGCTGCAATTCTCGTGCTGTTTCAGTGAACTGAAGTAAATAAACAAGCCTCTAAGGGTGAGGATTTGGGCCCCATGAACAGCAAGCCAGCTCATCTATCAAAAAGCAGCATCATCTACCCACTGCTTTTGTAGTACTTATCCAGTGAGAGACCACTATATGAATACAATTCAGGAGCAGCAGGGTAGGGTCTGGTATGTAAAACAGCACTTCAAAGGTACAGATAATACTGAATCATTACTATGGTTAGTGTGAGCATTTAATTTTTTTTAACTGCTCCATATTTTTTTTGCTTCGCTATGTGTTCAATTCTACATCTTCAAATAAACTGAAAGATCTGATAAAGGGTTGTTTTTTTTTTTCCTCTCAAGCAATTAAAAACTACATATCCTTATTTATCAGTGTCTAGAGGGAACGAGAGGAAATGCCCTAGCTATGGTAACTCGGTGCAGGCAGCCAACATCTCTGAAAAAAAAAAAAGTGTGAACTAGTTTATTAGAAGTCCATGATGCTACTGATAAATCAAAGCTAGATTCAGTAACAGACTATGGGCAAGGTGCAGAGCAGACAAACTTTCCCAGGGCTGTTACCCAAGAAGAATCCCCCATACTTCAGCTTACTGTGAAGGAACAGAGATGCTCCTCAGTAGCAGAAAAGAAGTTTTAATTTCCACAGCTACTGAAACAGATCATTGAATGTAGTTCCCCCATCCAAATTCCATATAGTGCATAACTCGCCAGTATAAGACCTGGAAGGATCCTCCATTTTCCCAACACATTTCATTACTAGTTTGCTTTTTACGAATGCAAGTGTCTCATAACCATAATTCATACTATAACTATTTGTTAATGTGGACTAATAAAAGTGATTAATAATAATATATGAACCTCACCTGTTATCGTTTTCACTAGATTTAAGTCCCTCTGTAAGTGATATGTCTCCTTTTTCTTCTTTCTTCGAATCCTGGCAACCGAGAGGAAAATACAATTTCTGTAACTGGTTCTTGACTAAGTCAACATTTAAGTGACTCTAATAATAGTATTATTAGGCACCTAACTGAAAATAAAAATCTTCTGAAGGAGCCACCCTATTTCTACAACTGCTGTATTGCATCTAGAATAATGACACGTTGGAAAATCAGGACTGAATAATGTCTGAACAAAAATATGCTGCAGTCCTTCATCAAAGTAATGTTCACCTATGCACATACTCGTTCTTTAAGGTCAACTTTTCCATTTTTGCCAGAATAAATTCTGTCAGTTGTGTTAGTGGAACACGAACTGACCTGTGTAGATTCAAACTGTACTTAAAACAGTTTAAATGAAAAACTGAGGACATAAAATTTAAATATCATCCTAGTACTTAAAATACGAACAAACCCCCTCCCACAGCATATTAGAACAAACACCCTTTAGATTTTTTCATAGAAAAAACTTCAGGTTTTTTTTTATTTTGAATCAACACATTTCTGCAATACAAATCCAAACACTCATCGCTGCAGGTTGTTCCATAAAGCTTCGGAATGAAGAAAAAAAAAAATAAAAACCACAGAGAATACTGTTTTCATTCTAAGCATGCCTAGCAAGTCAAATTCAGTCAGTAATATTTTTGGGACCAGGTTTTGAGAATAATCACCTTGTTTGCCAGTTCTTGCTCTCTGCTCTGCTGAATTATTCTCATGTATTTTTCTAATGGATTTGGAGTAGGATCCTTTACATTATCTTCAGCACCAGAATTACTGGTTTCAGATTTTACCCCCTCATCTTCTTTTTCTTCATCTGTTTTCACTGAGTCTTGGGTCCACTTTAAGACATAAAATCAAAATTAAATACTGATCAGCTCAAGAAAAATACCTTAATACCTGCATTACATGCAGGATTTCATGCTAACTTTGGTAAAACATGCAAGTCCAAACAGCATTAAACTTGTTACATGCAGTTCAAAATGAAGTGTTAAGCTATTGCTTCAATTCAAAAAGCGACATTCAAGAAATCCCCCTCTGCTTCTGTCTGGATGTCTGAGATGCTGTCAGGCCTGAGGCTTCTATGTATGACATGTACATGTGAACTGAAGAAGATGAGCCGACACAGGTACGCAAGTGTCTTGAAGGGCCCGCTTTGCTGGTATGACCGGACATGAGCATGTCAGATCAGCACTACTACAATGG